CTGTATTAGGGTTGGGCGAAATCGCATCGTGTGCAATTAATAGCCAGAAAATCTTTCTGTGGTTATTATTTGGCACTTGGCGATTCATACGATTATTGCCACACTCTTTTTCCCTCTTCTAATCTAAATAATTTATTTTCCTTGTCAAAGTCCTCACTCTGCCTCAGACTGTTTTTTCTTTGAGCTTCCCTCCTCTCGCTGCAAAGGTTCTGACTGCAGCTCGAGCCACAGCTCCACCTTAACCAGCTGTAGTGCCACTTTCAAATATCACCTCATCATTTTGACTCAAAGACACTAAAACTGACTGAACTCGACACTAAACATACTAAATAGACCCAAACTATAAAATCTGAACACACTAAATATCATAAATCTGTCAAATCTCATTGGTCACTCCCATTCTCATCGTCTGTCCATCACAGCCAAACTTCACTCAAGTCTTTTTATTTTCTTTTTCCTGTCGATTTTTTGGCACTTGTCAAAACATTTCAGGTTTCAGTCAGAAAGGAGTTTAGAGGTTGTGTGTTTGTTCGGCAGGGTGAGGGTGAGACCAGAGGGTGGATCAAGGTGTTTTTTTCCCCATGAATCTGACCATTTTTTGCTGCCTTCAAATATGACAAAAGTAAAATATATATATATAATAACTCTGATTTTAGTTGGTCTATCAACACAATATATATAGTGTATAGCTGGTGTGTGCCTTTGAAACAAATTTGAACAGATTTTTAGAGAGAGCGCATCTTTCCTACTAGAGCGATTTAAATCAGTTGTGTGACTAGGACATGCTGGAGTCCAGGGACTTCAGGGGATTAATCATCATATTAATCGTAATTGGCTAAATGCCAAAGAACACACCTGATGTGAATGATGATGAGTATAAAAAAGCATCTGACTGGATTTGAAGTGACTTATTTATAACAGCCTAACACAGAATAGGGTTGGATGATAAACAAAACTAAATAAATCACAATTAATTGTGACTATACTGACTTCATGTGTTTTCTYAAATCTCTGAAGCTAATTCCAGTAGCGGGGAAAGTCTGAGAAGTTTTGAAGGTGTTTCAGAGTGGGGCCTTCTTCAGGCCCAGCAGAAGATCAGGGAGCTGTCAGTCACCATCCGTATGAAAGAAGAACTCATCAAGGAGCTGGTCAAAACGGGTAGAAATGTTCACACACCTCCTTATCTGCACCAGCCTCGTGTTCTCCTCTGTTTGTCTGTCTGCTTATTTTTTTAAATGTTTTTAGGTAAGGAAGCTCAGGCCCTGAACAAGCAGTACAGCCATAAGATCTCAGCTCTGGAGAGTGAAGCTGTGCAGGCCCGGCAGGAGCTGCTGGAGGCTCAAAGGCAGCTGCAGGAGCTTGAGAAGCAGGAGAAAGAGATAAGCGGAACGGACAAGAGCAGAGCACAGGAATGTCGCAGGAAGATAGCTGCTGCTCAGAGCAAAGTTCAGGTTTGTTTGTCTTTATTCATCAAACTGCCACGGCTATTTATCAGAAATTACACAGAGTGATGTGGAGGTGTGTGGAGCACCCGAAAGACCCGCAGACCTGATGATGTAAATGACAAATGATTCATGGTCGACTATTAGGTGCTGAGTCAGCGTCAGAGGGACACAGCCCGTCTGGCCAACCTTCCTGTCCAGAGTGAGCGTCGTGTGTTGGAGCTGGAGAGAAGTGTTCAGTCCATGAAGCAGCAGCAGGAGCAGCTGCAACGACGCCTGCGTGAGGAGAGTCAGCAGAAACGACGTCTGGAGACAGAAATGCAACGAAGAACTCACAGAGTCAAGGTAACACTAACCCWCATCTGTGTGCTGTCATCATTTTCATTCTTTTTGCGTTTATACAACATTATCACAGTGTTTTTTAAYGAGTAGGCATTGAAAACAAACATTTTGGTTCAATTTTTGGGAAGAATCTGTATTTTTTAAATTTTTAAAGTGTTTTAATGTATGAATTCAGGAAAATGTATTCAGAACTAAATTAGATGACAGTTAAAGCAAGTTACACATTTATTAACTTGTGCTTGAGGCTTTCTTCTTCTCCTCTTAAAGCTGATTGTTTGTTACAGGAGCTTGAAATAAAGAACGAGCAGCAGCAGAAGATCCTCAGGATAAAAACTGAGGAGATTGCAGCCTTCCAGAGACAGAGACGCAGCGGCAGTAATGGATCTGTCATCTCTTTGGAAGAGCAGCAGGTGCCACAAGAATATTTAGATTTAAATGATGTTTGCCCCTAGTATGTTTACTCGTTTCCCAAACCTTGGTAGTATCCGTAAAGTTGAGAAGGTCTTTATAATTATAGCAGTAAAYTCTGAGTGTTTTTTTCTCTAATGTACTACCACAACAAGTTTCACTATTTTCTTGTTATATCATGTTGCGGCCGCGTGGAATAATTTCTCCGTCCCTCCCTCTTGCTGTACGTCGCTCATATCGTAGTTGTATTTTTCACACCAGAGTCAGAAGAGTATGGCAGGCCATTTTTGCATAAAATCAGCTTCACCACACTTGCATGAATTTGAAATTGTTTTATGACTAGACATGTTAGTTATTTTTAGTGAGAGCTATATAAGGTTTAACAAATTCTAACTAGAGAGCTGCATTTCCTGCGAAAATCCTAGTGTGGATGCTTCTTACTGAAAACTTAAGCTGAAAGCTGCAGAATATGATTTGAAAATATTTAATGACAAAATTCTATTGCAAGTTCAAGTTGAAAGAAACAATAAAATCCAAAAACAGTAAAAAGGAGTAAAATATTGATCAATATTGCAGAAAAAAGCTTAAAGCTAAACATTAAAATAGCTGAAAATAGCAGAAAGCAACTGCAAAAAGCATAAACAGCTCAAATTAGCCGAATGTGGCACAAAAACGCAGAAGAATAGCAGAAAGCTGCAGAATTTTACCTGAAATAGCAGAAAAAAAGCTAACATTAGCAAAAAGGTAGAAATCGGCACAAGGAACTTAAAAAGAGCAAAACCAGAAGAAAATGTGTAAGGTTCTGTAAAGATTCAGAAACATTTTGAAGAATTTTAAGGATGTTGAAAGAACTCTATTCATTTTCAATGGGAAAAAGTGGCCGAAAAAGTGAAATAGCTGAAAAAGTATAATTAGCTGAAATACAAAAAGTCATAGTCGGAATGTCCTAAATGAGCTGAACGTTTTGACATATGAATTGTTGAAATAGTAAAAAAAATTGAGTTAGATGCCGAAAAACGTACAGAAGAAAAAACTATCTCTGTAGTGTGAATTCTATGAAGCATTCACATTATTAAATTGCAGACTTTCTCATGCTTTGTAATTTTATTTAAAAAAGCTGCATACTCTTTTAATAAATACTATGTTTCTGCTGTCGTTCATCATTCTGTGTTCAAAAACACCTCCTTCTCCCCCAACCCTGTGCCCACACAAGAAAAATATTGTAGGGGAAGCACTAGTTGGTTGTGCTATTTTTGGGTGCTGGTTTTAAAACACAATCGTTTCAATATCCTGTTTTTAAACTGAGAAATGTTTTTGAGTAAATCTAATGTTACCGCAGCTCTTGAGCCCTAACATTACATCGTTTATTTTGTGTCCCTTCTCTGCGAGATTAGAAGATCGAGGAACAGAAGCGCTGGCTGGATGAGGAGATGGAGCGCGTCCTGGATCAGAGAAGAGGCCTGGAAGGTCTGGAAGGAGAACTGACTAAACGAGAGAAAATCCTGGCAAAGAAGGAAGCGTTGCTACAAGAACGCAGTGGGCTGGAGACAAAAAGACTCCTCTCCAGTCAGGTATTCACAAATACAGACCGCGGGAGGCTGCGGGAGCTGGGGCGGTTCTAGGGGTGAGGCCAAAAATGAAATGAAATCTGATTGGCCTCTTGAAGTGGCCCTGTCCTGCCACTCATCTTTCCGTTACCTGGGAGTGATGATAGTAGATGCAGTTCCATGTTCAAACACTAGTTGCGCTAATGAGTCACATAGTAAAGTCCAGAATGAATCAAAGGCTGTGTCCAAAACAACAGGCCGGGTCCTCCGGAGGACCCAGACTACCCGCTCGCGGCGGGCCGGGTCCTTGGTAGACCGGGAAGACCGGAAAAGAAGAGGCTGTGAATTTGGACGGTCTAGCCTCCCCTCCTTACCCTGGCGTACGTCATGTCACCTAGCAGCTGTGACGATGCTAAACAAGCAAACTTAAATCAAAATTAGAAAAATATCAATACATTAGCATTATTAATATCACAAAACTATAAAATTAACTTAAAGATTTCATTTGAAGAACTAATTGACCCGCTGTAGGTGCATGTTTATTTCGCGTTTTTTATGACGAAAAAATAATATTTAAAAACATGTCTATACAAATGATAAAAGTATTAGAATTACAACCGCTAATTTTTTTTAATTTTTATATCACCATATTTTTATTTAAAATCTATTCTTTTCTCTCGCTTCATCCGCCATTACTAGCATAAAAAAATCTCCGGTCGGGCCGCAATGCATTATTGGGATATGCTGGGCTGGGAAGGATCCATCAGACCTGTCCTTCGATTCGGGCCAAAGGAAGGACGTATTTGTCGGCCGCATCGGAGGAGTCTTCRGTTTTGGACGTACTTCGTCGCGGCGCTGCGGTATGCGGTATGCGAATTTGTCGGCGTATGCGGCCGACAAATTCGGCCTTCGGAGGACCCGGCCTGCCGTTTTGGACACAGCCAATCTTACAGAATTCTTCTTCTCTTCTTAAGAAAATTTGAACAATCCTGCCAAAAAAAAAAAGGTATTTCAACTGACAAATGCTGGCTTGATTTTCTCAAATGTTGTGTTTGAGAATATTTTATCTATGTAGAGTAAAATATATGAAAAACTGGTGAGGAGAATTTACTGTGCAAGCTTTTTTTGGCACCACTTTACAGTAAGGCTCCCCTTATAGATGGCTTATAAAGAGTGTATAGATAGGTTATTAATTCATCTGTAAACACTTTGTAATTATAAATAAATGTTTATTATGCAATAATTAAGGACGAGAAAGAGACAAAACTGTCCGGTTTCTTACCACATAATGAGACAAATCTGTTCATGTACATATTACATCTAAAGGTGCTTATTAAACATTTCAGACAAGGTTACTGCATTGTAAGTACAATAACTATAAGAAACATATATTTTAACATATTTATATTGTACTATATTACTGCATTTTTAATATCCACAACTGTTGTAGGGAGACTTAAAGTGTAAAACAGTACACTATTTGTTAATGCCAAATAAACATTTATAATGCCAAAAGTTAGTATTTAATGTGAAAAATCACCATTTTTAAAACTTAGTGTTGATTATCAATATTTGAAATTATTGATCAAACATGTAACTGTCAACAAGATGTATCAAAAAAAGTAAAAGGTCATGTTTATACCAAATAATCCCACTCCATCCAAAATAATGTACAGTTTTATACTTTACAAAAAGGATCCCTTTTATATTTGTGGATATTTATAATGCAGTAATACAATACAATATTATATATTAAAATATGAATTTCCTAATCATTATTGTGCTTACAAGGTAGTCTGAAATGTTTAATACACAAACAGATTTGGCTCAGTGTTTGGAAAGAAACCGGACAGTTTAGTCTCTTTTTTGTCCTTAATTAATGTATAATAAACACTTATTAATAAATTAATGAAGCGTTTACCAATGAATTAATAAGTTATCTATAAACTCTTTAAAGCCATCTATAAGGGGAGTCTTATTGTAAAGTGGTACCTTTTTACATAAAAAGGACATTACATTACAAGTGTTTGAACATGTATGACTGGTTAAATGTATACACCGTACCAAAACTGGGGATTTGTGTGAAAGACTTGGCCCCTCTATGAATATTGTGGCCCCTTGATGGACCCATACTCAGAAAAATCCTAGATCCTGCCACTGTGAGGGAGACTCATAAATGCTGAAGCTCTGTTCTGTTTTGTCCAGGCTCTGAGTAAAGATATGGTGACACTGACTGGGCGCATTGAGACACTGGAGCAAGAGCTAAGTGAGAGAAATGGTCTCCTTCGCAGCAGCAGCGCTCAGGACTCCCAACACATCCGGCAGGAGATCTCCAACCTGCGCCAGGAGAAAGATTCACTGCTTAAACAACGTGTTGAGCTGGATGATAAACTGCGGAAAGGAAACCTGCTCTCACCCGAGGTCAGACACCGCTTCAGAATTCAACTTCACCAGTATATTTTAGCTGTCTGCTCTTTTTAAACTGGGACTTGATAATGTCTGATCTGTTTCCTGTGATGTCATCAGGAGGAGCGGACTCTTTTCCAGCTGGACGAGGCCATCGAGGCTCTGGATGCAGCTATTGAATACAAAAATGAAGCCATCACCCAGAGGCAGAGGCAGCTCAGGGCCTCTGCCAGCATGCTCTCCCAGTGGGAAATGAACCTCATGGCCAAGCTCAGTTACCTGTCCGCCTCCGAGACCAGAGCTCTGCTCTGCAAGTACTTTGATAAGGTTTGTGTCACACTTTTTTCTGAACATGTTTTCATGCAGGGTGTTCCGAACAACTTCCTCGTTGGTGCTTTCTGCAGGTGGTCTCCTTGCGTGAGGAAGAGCGTAAGCTGCAGCTTGGACTGACTGAGCTGGAAATACAGCTGGATGACAAGCAAAAGCTGGTGCAGTGGTTGGAAAACGCCCTGGAACGCTCACAGCTCGACACAGATCGCCGGCTCACGCAGCAGCAGAGGGAACACGAGAGGAGCATGCAGCTGTTGTTGCAGCAGTGTCGAGGTGAGAATAAACAAGTTATTATCACAAACGGTTAAATAATCATAAAHAAACTGCTCCCAGATGTCATGTGGCTCTTTAATATTACAAGGTCTCAGGTGTGAATGAGGAGCAGGTGTGTTGAATTTGGTATTGGTCACTCTTTTAATGGCCACTGATAAAGACGTCCAGTGAACTCCATGACTAAGAGCGTTAAGGCAGTGCTGGAAAATAATGGTGGCCACACAAAATATTTGTTCACATTTTGGACATTTTCATTTAAGACTTTTGTTGCCAACAGTTYAGACATTAATGGCTGTGTGTGGATTTATTTTGAGGGGACAGCACATTTACAACATTATATAAGCTGTACACTGACTGCTTCATATTGTAGCAAAGTGTCATATCTTCAGTGTTGTYCCATGAAAAGTTATAATAAAATATTTWTAAAAATGTGAGGGGTKTACTCACTTTWGTGAGATACTATATGTGGCTGACTTTTATTTTATTAAAGTCCCTTTATTAGTAAAACATATTCTTCTGTTTGGTCTCATATTGCAACAGAACAAATGGATGAGGGCCTGGCAGGTCGGCAGCGGCAGTATGAGGGATGGATCCACAACCTCAGCAAGGAGCTGAACCACTACAAGGCAGCRAATCTGGAGCTCAGCAACAAACTGAGAGAGCTCTGTAGTCCAGTCAGTCAGCTTAAAGAGCATCCAAAAGGTAAAGAGTCTGAGCAGAAACTTCCTTTACATCTATGTCTGATAACAATGAATTAAAATAAACACATAGAGAGACATAAAACTGATTTTTCTGAGACAAATTTTATTGGCTGTGTTTCAACTCTGGGGTTGCAGCCTACGTAGGGCACATTTGTAGGCACTGCATCGTTGGCTGTCCCAGTTTGTAGGCACTTACTCATGCTGCTGACAAAACCACAAAAATTAAGCCYGTATCTAAGTATCCTACATGGCTGACGGTGTCCCAGGATTCATTGCACTGTCAGCAAACTAAACAGAAAAAACAGCTGAGTTGTGTTTTTCTTGTTTATTTACTTCAGAGTTTGGAAATCACAGACCCAATAATTAACTTTTTAAATGTAAGTTGGCAACTTAAGTGATGAAACCTTTGCTGCAATGAGATGTTAAATAAAATACAATTACCAATGCCACAGCTAAACGCAAATCATTAGCGTAATTTTTTTTTAAATTTATTTACATGTAACGTTTTTTTAAATAATGAATTTTGTGAAGTTATAAGTCCCATGAAAAGATGTATGAATAC